TCTAGGCGCTACTTATTATTGTAATCCTTCTCACATTTTTCATTCTCGTTATAGCAATTGGCCACCATATCAAATGATTTTATAATAACTGTCTTGAACGAGAAGGCATTGGAGGTTTTCAGTGGGACATGTTCACTGGGTCTAGAACTCATTACTTCATTCTGTTTTTTCAGCTTCTGTAATATACTCTAGGAAATCCATGGGCAGATGATATAGCTCGTGGGCATTGTTTTATTGGAGCCATAATTTGTAGTGACGTGTCTTCTCAGTGATGCTCCCAATGCAAGTTCTGCGTGCATTTTTAAATAAGAGATTGCTTGTTTTCAGTTACAGCTTTTTGTTTGTCAGCTCCCGTGTGAGTGCTCACTTCAGAAGATCTTACTGTTTTGCATCTGCTCACTCTAATTGCTGTGCAAGAGGACAGAGTTCCAGTATCGGCTGCCTAGAAGCAGAAGTCCTAGCACCCTTGTATACCTGCCCAAATCTGGTTTTCTATTAAGCCCTAACAGTAACGAAGCAGACTAGGCAAAGGTGCAACAAACATGTCTTTAACAAATCCTTCCAAGTCATCTGATGCACTTCAAACCTGCACGTACTTATTCTTAAAACCATGAAATAGCTCAGTTGGTAAATACTAATATTCTGTTCCAGTATTCCTGTACGGCATGTATGCTGTATTAACTGCACCTAATCTGTCATCATAAAAACAATATATCTGTTTTACATGCTTAGTTTAAAACTTAGCTAGAAATTCCTCCATATTTTAAAGACAAAACAAAGCAGCCTGAATAGCTGAGCTTAAGCCAGGCTTGTCAGAGCTTGGGAGCCAAGCAGGGTTAGCCTTGGTCAATACTTGGAAGGGAGACGATGAAGGACAATTGGGATTGCTGCGCAGAGGAAGGCAATGGCGACCCACTTCTGCTCTCTCTTGCCTGGAAAGCCCCACGGCTGAGGCCACCAGGAGTCAGTTATGACTCAATGGTGTATGCAGGGGTGATTTCGTAGAAAAAGAGATGCAGGAGCTCATTAGCATAACTTATTAACATAACTCATTTGCATATGCCACACCCCCTGGCATCACCGGAAGTGTGTCAGAAGGCAACACCCACTGCTCAGGCTCCACTGGACTGTTTTGGATTGCTAGCTATTGGGGGGTGGGGAACATGCAGCTCTGTCCTCGCAGAGGAGGGAGAGCTTGAGCCTGAATAAAACTTGGTCTTAAAGGTGCCACTGGACTGTTTTGGACCGGGGGGGCAGGGGGAGCTCTGCAGCTTACTTGGCTGCTTCTGGCTCTGACTGAGGGCTGCTGGGAGCAGGGGGTGGGGCTTGTTGCATGTGCCTGCCCCCTGGGCTCTTTACTGCCAGAGCTCCGCTCCTGTGTGCTCCTGCAGGAAATGACCCCTGGGTGTATTCTTAATTACAAACCAAGTACTGTAATATTGGTATGTATTATACCACTTAGTGAGTAGGCAGGTTATAACCGTCTTGAATAATAAAGCTCTTCCTATATATGCTCAAGTGGTTAAGACGCTGAACTGCAGGCTGTGGAAGGTCAGTAGTTCAGCAGTTTGAGACCCGAGTGTGCCGCATGACAGGGTGAGCTCCCGTCTCTAGTTCCAGCTCCTGCCAACCTAGCAGTTTGAAAGCAAGAAGTTGCAAGTAGATAAATAGGTACCACTTCGGTGGGAAGGTAACAGCGTTCCGTGTGCCTTGGTGTTTAGTCATGCCAGCCACATGACCACAGAAACGTCTTCGGACAGTGCTGGCTCTTCGGCTTTGAAACGGAGATGAACACCGCAACCCTAGAGTCGGACTCGACTGGCTTTCAAGCAAGGGAACCTTTACTTTTAACATCCTCAAATCCTTTCTTCAGGTGTGAATCCTTTTCGCAGTTTTTCCAATCCAGCAGGATGTTTAAAATTAACTACTTGCCTCTATCTTTCCCTGCCTAAAGTGTCCATAAACTTGTAACAGCTATAGCTAGTGTTGTGCTAAACTGCTGTAAGCCTGCCAGCTTTCTGTTTCTCCTGGTGGGGAGGGGAAGAGCAGAACTGCTAGATGACTCCAACCTGAAGCACAGGTGAATAAGCAAAAGCTTGTGTGGAGTACTATTCTGAACCAGAAGTGTGAGTTAGTAGAGGAGCAAATCCACCCCACTATCCCTACTGCTTCTTACCATTTGCCAGGCAAAGACCTGTAGTTTCTAAAGCTACCCAGCAATCCCACCCAACTCCTCCTCTCTCTCCTTAGAACTCAAAGCAGCTTAAAAGGCAGTATTTGCACCTGCAGCATTGTTTTCACTGCCTCTCCAATTTGCTGGTGAATGAGTTGGCATGCTTTCTCCAAAGCTGTCCACAAGTGCACAGTGAATCACTGTTCACGCTTAGCACATGTGTATATCTGAGTGGAAGATGACAGCTACCTTTTCTTTAGGAAGGCAAAAAAGTCATTTTCTTTTTAAGTAAATATGGTTCATATAGTTTTCCTGGACATGTGAAATTACATGTGCCTAGTGCCATTTGAGCATTCTGGACAATAGAGAAGAATGAATGAAAGGCTTCCGAGTGGGGATGTGCACCATAATTTTGAATCCAGATTGCGAGGAGGGCATAATTATTGGTATGCTAGATTATTCAGGTCTCCAACACTAATTCAGTATTTAGACATATTTTCCCTGGAATTTGAAATTGGGGTGTGTGTGTCCCTTATTTCTTATGGGGAATCTTTCTGGGGGACTAGACTGGCTGGGGTTTTTTTTGAGCAAATGACACTAAATACTCCACATTTCAAGTGAATTGGACCAATCACTCTCTTTCCTTCTGCAATCTCTTGGAGACTTCCAACTTGTATACTTTATTTACACAAGGTTTTTCCATATGGTTATGGATTGTATAAATTACTTGCACAGTACAGAAATATAATGAATTTGAGATATTTTTACCATAGCAGGTTTTCATGGGATTTAAAAAATAAATTCTTGCAAATTTGAACTCCATTGGCAAACGGGGGGGGGGGGGGGGGGTTGGAGAGTAGGGATTGTTGGCTGTGCAGTGATTGAAGGCCTATTTAGTGTAGTGGATTGGTGTAGTGGTTAAGACTCTAATCTGGGAGAACCGGGTTGGATTCCCCACTCCTCCAACTTGAACCTGGCTGGATGACCTTGGGCAAGCCATAGTTCTGTCAGAGCTGTTTGTGAAAAAGAGCAGTTTCTGTCAAGAGCTCTCTCAGCCCCACCTACCTCAGAGGGTGTCTGTTGTGGGGAGGGGGAGGGGAAGGGAAAGGAGTTTGTAAGACACTTTGAGACTCTGAGTGAAGGGCAGTGTATAAATCCAATCTCCTTCCCCCCCCCCTCCTCTTCTTCTTAACAACAAAGGGGGGGGGTGACAGTGCATGCCAATCATGGCAGTTATTTCAGTCATGTGTCTTTAAATGTGTTATGAATAGAAATGCTGCAGTTCCCATCCAGGTATGGTATAATTATTTTCTCCTACCTGCCAGATCAAGATAAAATCTTTTAGCTATTTCACTGCTTAGCCAGCATTCTAGCTACCACCTTGCCCTGACTAACTAACCATCATTTGGGATATACACATCTCTTTTTCATCAGTAACACATGGCATCAATTCTGTCCTTATACCCTGAATTGTAGCGTTGTACATAAAGCCCGATAATACACTGAGGATCACCCCCTAGTGGAAACATATTTTTGTTCCCCGTTGAATCTTAGACGTCTGCTGTTGGGGGGGGGGGGGGTTGCCTTTATCACATCCTTGCACTTATCACATCCTGCACCCAGAGGTATGCCTGCAGTTGCATTGCATGTGTATTGCCAGGTTAGTGACCAGTTCTGTCAGCATTCATAGTACTGAATCCAATCTCCTTTTAGATAAGCATATGGAGCAGAGGTCCATCAGTGGCTATTAGCCACAAGGTATAGATAGGGACTCTCAGTCTGGGGCAGGTGATGCTCTGTCTTCTTGGTGCTTGGGGGGGGGTCAACAGTGGGAGGGTTTCTAATGTCCTGGCCCCACTGGGGGGCCTCCTGATGGCACCTGGTATTTCTGGCCACTGTGTGACACAGAGTGTTGGACTGGATGGGCCTTTGGCCTGATCCAACATTGGCATCTCTTATGTTCTTATGTTCTTACTGACTAGAGCTCTCAGGTTGGGAGAATATGCATTAAATCTTGTGGCTATGCCCCCCCCTTCCCCCAGCCTTCTGGATGATCCCTATTGAAAGAGGGTGTTCTTTTCCAGGAAGTGGAGAGGCATCCTTGAATGAAGCAGAAGGTGTGCAATTTTCTGCTTTGTTCTACCTGTCTCAGCTGGGGCCCGTGAGCTGCAAAATTAGAAACGAAAAATGGCATTTGGACTTTGCTGCATTTCAGTTCAGATCCTGCAACCCTTAAATTACATGTCTTCAAGTTGTTCGATAACTCCATGTAAAAGATTTAAATCTGGTACAAGTTTTTAATGGCTCAGACTTGAAACAGCTGCAGTTCTAATAAAAGCCAGAGCTGCAAAGTGATTGAAAACAAAAAAAACACTGGGCTCCCAGTCCCCATTAAAACAAAAGGTGAGTTCAATAAGTTCTCAGATCTGCTGAATGCATGAGGATTGGATGTTCGTTTCTGTGAATTCCTCTCAGCGTCACATTGCTCTGGAGGCTGAATAATCAAATGAAGTAGAGGGCAGGCGCAGGAGTCTTGCCAAATTGGGGGGGGGGGGCTGGCATGACAGTGGCGCCGATATCTTTCCACCCCAATGCTTCCATTAAGGCGTTTTTGCTTTGCTGAATGATCTCAAGACTGCTGCCCCCCCCCCCCTTTTATTTTGCTGGAGAGCATATCGCTTGCCCTGATACTGCCTTTCTGTTTGTCGAAAGCATTTCTGTTTCCAGTGCACATTTCCTTGTCGCTCTTAACTGCTCAGCTGTTCTTGTGGCTTAACCTCTCTGCTTAATACAGTTCTGTTCTCTTTTCCTCCATGCTGCCAAAAAGGAGACAAACAGTTCAGAGGAGTCAGAATGTGACGACCTTGACCCCAACACTAGCATGGAGGTAGACCACCCTTTCTTCCCTCCCTGGTTTGCTGCCCAGTACTGCTTTTCCCACAGCATGGTGCCATTTTATAAATGGGGCCTGTAAAAATCTGGAATGTTCATCTCTGTGTCCCCCCCCCCCAGTTGCCACTGAGGAGCATGGGACCTTTGGGAACAGCATGGGGTGCTGCAGTGGGAAAGGGGAATCAGCCCGTATGCATCTACCAAAATTCTCTTTTACACCATTGTTAAAGATCTAGCAGCCCTGTTTCTGTCATGTCCAGGGGACATTTCGTAGAAAAAGAGTGCAGGAGCTCATTAGCATAACTCATTAGCATTACTTATTTGCATATGCCACACCCCCTGGCATCACTGGAAGTGTGTCAGAAAGCAACACCCACCGCTCAGCCTCCACTGGACTGTTTTGGATTGCTAGGTATGGGGGGGGAACGTGCAGATCTGGCCTCACAGAGGAGGGAGAGCTTGTACCTGAATAAAACTTATTCAGTGTTGGTCTTAAAGGTGCTACTGGACTGTTTTGGATTGCTAGCTAT